GAGACAATACTACCCCCTCTCACCTCTTATTTAAATTAATTTCACTGTAATTTCTTTCAAATAACTTTTTTACACAGCGTATAATAAGTCACTTTAATTAATTATTCTCATTGTTATTGTTAATTTTTGATTTTGAAATATTGCAGATTATTTATATATTATTCACCTCGTGCAACTTTAATTATGCAAGAACAGTAGGCGAAAGAAACGGAGTATTGTGCGCTTGACATTTTGCCGGTTCAGTATTTTCTGCAAGCTGGCGCCGCTGACATTCGATGCATTTATCTTCGTCACAGCGCCCAAGAAACAATATTTACCGAGTCGCGAGATAAAGAGCCGCGGTTCGTGCGACGGACTGCAATAATAAACTATCGCGCCGATGTAACGCTTAGCGTATCGAGTATTCGACGAAATGATAATATTCGGGTCGTTCAACCGTCTCGCGCACCTCGGAGAGAGAAATTCACGAAGCTGCGGGTGTTACGTAAAAATAAACGATACGCGCATTGCTGGGTACCGTACGTTTCCGCAACGTTTACAGTATAAAGCAGTAAAACGTTTTAATTGTCTGGAAAATCAAAACGGATAATGGGTGCGGATTTATGACATGAAATTGCATTGCCGATTAAAGCGGGGAGTACAGACTCTTGCATAACGCATAACATGAGGCATGAGAAATTCAACCGGAGTTCTTTCATTTCGTGGAAAGAAGGAAACGAAGGACTTTAATTGATACATTTTCTTATGCGTTACGGACAAAAATCTGTGCTCCCCGCTTTAAGGTCAGCCGGGGAAAAATAATACGTTTTGAAACAAAATACAGTGCGTCGTAAACATCGCTGTGTTAGCAGCAGACTTTGGATACGTGAGACATCGTGTCGTTATTAGGTACATATCTTACGAACATTGACCGCTTTTTTTGTGTACATAAGTGAATAATAACGTGACGAGACGAGTATAAATAAATGCTAGCGAAGGATGTTGATCTGTCGAAAAAATAGCAACCGTAACTCTATTTAAAAATTATTGTAGAATTCTGCTAGAACTAACGAGAAATGTCATTGGAATTGCAACAAATTATCATCATGACTTTTTTTCAAATACCTGATGTCTCTTATATTTAAAGTCTATTAATATTAGTAATTGTTGGAATTTATTTTCAAATTACACACATTGGTAGAACTGGAGCAATACTAACGGAAATATATCTATAGTAAGTGGAAATATTTTTCATGGAGTAAAAATTAAATTTTCATTTTATCCGTTATTCTTTGCACTTCGTATTAATTTAAGATCGTATTTCTGCGTTGTAGCACTGAGGAAGGCTTTGTAAGCCAAAACGTTTTACATTAATTCAAAGTTAATTTAATTAAAGCTCGAAATAAGCCATGACATTGTGTTAATTTTTAAGAAATATTTTTCTTTTTCTCGAACTTTAAAGAGAAAGTATCGTGCTAGATTCGCAAAGTTAGCAGGCTATATTTTCAATTGTGATTTTTTAATATTAGAAATCCTTTTTTTATTTTAATAAGGAACTGAAGAACTGTGAAGAGCATTACTGGAATTGTCAGTATTTTTTTTTTTTTCTATATTAATAGAATGTCGCGTTAACTTCATAAACACAACAGCCGAGCGAGTCAAATCGCGGACCACTCCTAGTTTTAGCATCTATATAAGCCACGTGTCGAGTTACTGCATCGTAGCACGCCACTTTCCTATTTCCACTACTCCTCCTGTCCGATTTATCGCTAGACACAGCCGCGAGGTCATTCACATGAAATTTGTAACGTCTGTCGCGATTGCACACATGAACGCGTCTCCGCTCTATTTCCTAAATAAGTTTCTTGTATTTCCGCAAATTCCAATATTCTCTGTAAGCGTATATTACTATTGCAAAGTTGCATTCGATTTGAACGCTCACATGCTGCAAGCTTCATTCTACACACGAAAAAAAAAACAATGATGGTTATATCCAGCATCGTTTTAAATAAAAAATTATTTTGTTAATCAAATAATACTGTTAATAAAACAAATATGTCATGTTCTTGTTTTAATGGAACAAATAAAATTTTATTTGTTCCATTAATACCGTTATTATATATAAATCAACATGATTATTTTAAATTAAAATAATACTATTGCTACATCATTTTTTTTCAGTGTACCTTTATTATTCATTATTTACGGAAAGAAGATAGAATGAAGCTTACAGCACATGAGAACCCAAAGCGAACGACGAGAATCACGAAAGAAATTCATCGAAACGATGCGACGATAGCAGAAACGTGGAGAACATTCGAAAGATTCTTTTTTTTCCCCCTTGCCTCAACAGCGTCTTAACGGAGAGTCTTAACGGAGAAGTTATCGCCATGACTTCCAATTCACAGTGGCAATCCTCGGGTCTTAAGTGACTCCGGGGAACGTTGTTGCTCGGTATTCAGCGCACTAAAGGCAAACCTTGCATTTTGTAATTCGCATCATAACGCGCAACGCAGAAAGGGGTAAACCCACCCTCGATACGCGGAAAGGGTTACGCGAGATAGAGAAAGAAGGGGGGGAGAGAGAGAGAGAGAGAGGAGGGCAATTGTTACAGGGACACGGTTGCCATGGGAGGACTCGGAGGGTGTTTCGAGAGCTCCCAGCGGTTTACAATGGTGCCCTGGTTCCTCCAGGCTCCCCTCTCCCCTCTCCCCTCTTCCATGCACCCTCCTCTGTTGCTGCACGGCAATACGTGCACACACGCTCACACGAGATCGATCTCCCTCGAGTTACCTAACGGCTCTCGTTAGGCCGGCCGGTCGGCCGGCCGGCAAAGCTGAGAGAACCGGTATTATTGAAAAACTGGAACCAGCAGCCGCCGCCAGTTCGTCGACGAAACACGCTCGAGAACGGCCACGGAGAGCCTTATTGCGCAACGACTTAAATCGATAAAAGAGTGCGACGCAAAAATATTATACGCCTTACATTTGTGCATTCTAATGTCGCTGCGTAAGGTGCGAAGGATATGAATGTATATAGCGTGTTAAAAAGCCTTCATTTAAATATTAATTCAATAATTCAATTGCATATTTAGATATTTAGATATGATCGACGATAACAGTATTATGTATCAAGCAAAGTTGTTCCTCAATCACAGTTACGACTGATTTTATGACCGCGACAAATGATCCCGCGCATAATAAGTCGAATGAATAATCGCTCGAATTTTTCTTGTCGATAATAACAGTAATAGTTACGAATAATGTAGTATACAGTGAATATAGTAACGTCATCGACTTTGTACCAAGAACGTATCGCAGACGCTAATTAGCCGCGTCATTAACTGCTTTAATTGTCGGTCAGGATCGTGCTGGTAGATTTTCTAACAAGACTACAGTCCGGATGGCTTTATCACAAGATAAGTTATTTTAAACTTGGCAAAAACACGTATCCTACTTCAGAGGGGAGAGCCGAATAGTTGCTTTACCATCCTTATCCTTTTTTTTTTTCGGTTCCCGCAAACAAGCATCAAAATGACAGGCAATTTGGAGGTCGAGGCCAGGTCTTAGGTCAAATTTTTGTTAGGCATTACGAAACGGAGGTTAAAACGTGCATCACTTATGGAGCCTTCTCCCTCAAGACAGCTTTCTGTTACATAATAGATCGAAGGCAGACACAATATTTTATCGACGGAAAATATATTGAAAGCTTGTTATTTGTCGTATTAACGTGTCAAAATTAGAAGCTACAAATTGATATCTCTTTTATAATTAACGCAAACTGCATAATTCTCTATAAAATTAATTTTTATAATTTATCAAATATTTGACAACAATGTTCGTTCATTGATACAAAAGTTACGTCTACATCAGCATTTAATATTTCAATTAAATATGATAATAATTAAATAATTAAAAAATTAAAATAACACAAATATAAAACTAGCTACATTTATATTTTATGTCTAAAAAAAAATGTTTTTCAATTCTATTTTTTTAGATATACAATTCGCGAGCAAATTGTGCATTAATGTTATATTTTTTTTAACAGAATTACGCCCTGTACAATCTCAAAATAATGATTCACTCTCTTTCAATCTCATTGTATCTTTGTAATAAAAAGGATAAGGAAAATCAGTTAAGCAAGATCAGAGCTAAATAAACGTTTGCATAAACAGATCGCGTCCATTGGATTAACTTATAATGTGACAACGTTAATGATATTCTTTACCTTTTTCCGGATTACTTGTGCATCTGTGATACAGGTGGACAAGTCGTTAACCAGAGTTGACGTTAATTGACGTTTGCAAGAAGATTTTACACGAGTAGCAGGTCAAGGGAAAAGCATAAGAGAGTAAAAGTATTCTTTAACGCCGGCATATATAAATATACACGTACGCAAGTACATACGTATGTCTGTATGTGCGTGCGTACGTGCGCGCGCAAAGAGACACATGCACGCTACTTGGACTGCTCAGGTATTGATTTCTCTGCGTATTTAGGGTAGGACGACAGTGTTACAGGACGGGATACGAAAGGATACGAAAGGATTCGCCAGGAGCGTAGCTCTTATGCCTGATTTATGCTTGGAAAGGACAGCCTCTCTCAGTTGAAATAAACGTAATGAATTCCTACGACGAGATTAAATCGTCGATACTAACTTAGTTCAGCTTTTTATATCTTATTCAAAACACATATATATATGCATTAATGATGAAAATATTAAAAGTATGTTTAATCCATTAATTATAATATATATGCTAAATTATTACGTTCCATCATTGCACGATAAAAAATAGTAATGATTTATTTTGTTCGCTTAAAGTAATTAAAAAGATTCCTGCTCTGTCAGTATAATGTTGCATGACAATTTTATCAATGTTGCAATCGTTAACGATTTATCACTTCCTGAAGATCCAGTCCATTTCACTTGCAAAGCAACACGTCGTAATTCAAACGCTCCGTAAGAGAAATTCTCAACGTATCAAAAATATATATATATAAAAACCATTAATTACTTACCTTAATATGATAGGAGTTAAGTTTGGTGCGAGGCAGACTGTTGAAAGCGCTGAAATCCAGACGACGCGAAAAGATGCCGTTGGCGCCGCAGCTTTGTCTGCAAATAGATAAAAACAGAGTTTTACGATAAAAACTAGGATACACTATACATATGTATTACGTTGAAAAAAATTACTAAACTTTAATGTACATTTCTTTGAATAGTGTTAAGTACACATTTACAGTAAATAAATATTTGTTCAATAACTATTCAAACCAATATTTATTCAAATATAGTATTTTTTTTAATATATCCATGTTTTGAAATGTATCTATGTAGTTTTGAATATACATTGCATGTAGTTTCATATTAAACCTGGGAGGCGCGTCCTGGTCATTTTGACCGAAATATTATTTTCGCACATATGCACGTTATATAACTAGAATACATATACATATGATTATAATTACTATAAGTAATAATTAATAAGCAAATGTTCTGATAATTAATAAATTAAAAACAAAAGAACGTAATAATTACTGGAAATAATTGTATTTATATAATATGATATATCTTTATTTTAATTTTCTTCTTTTTTTATTTGTTAAAATTATTGATATGAAACGAAATAATAAGAAAATTATAATAATTTTATTTTTTATTTATAAATACATAATAATGGCGGAGATGATAAACACTAACGTAAGTGCGCGCCTCGGTCTTTTAGACCGACCGTTACAAACATCAAATTTTATGTAGATATAAGCATGTTAATTTACGTCATCTATTTTCGTATACTATACGAAAAACCATTAACGAACATTTACATGAGTAAAAGTAAAAATAGTATCAATAAATTGAAAGATATAAGTAGAAAATGAAAGAGTACGACAAAATGACCAGTACGCGATCATAATTCCCGGGTTAATTATTTATGTACATTCAATGCATTCTAATATATTTACATCAACTTTCTCTACCGAAATAGGCGTTTAGTAGCGAAGTGATTGAAAGACATGGGTCGTCAGAGTCGTAACGAACCCTTTAAAGGGCTACAAACGGAAAAGTTAGTGTTCCAGTGAATTTTTCGTGATTCATAATAACTTCGGACCCTCGGTCTCTCACTTGACAACTCTCCCTTCAAGGACATCAACCATACGACCCTCGTCGTGCGAATCTCATTCTTCCTTTATGCATGTGCGACGATGAAAGCGAATACGAAATATTTCTAAGCGTATGTGTGCTGTTTTTTTATCCAGTCCTATATCACTCATAGAAAAAGCCAAAAGTTTCCCAAGCAAAGGGGCATAATTTACCTTCGGCGAAAACATGTTATAGACCGATTACACGACGGGATATATAAACAACATTGTTAGGTAGAATATTGGTTCAATTAAAAAAAATCTTAAGCGTAAGTCCTTTTTAAAACCTCGACGGTTATCGACGTCTTTAAATAAATAGAAACATTTTTGCAATAAATTATATTCAATAAGATCAATATTTTTCATTCATAATTTTTCAATCGTTCAGATTATAATTACAAAAATAACAATAAAATGTTCAATTTAATATATTTGTAGGACCGTATATATGTGACAAGACAAACTATAAAAATCAATGCTTTAAACGGCATTAGCTGGATTTTAAGTGTGTTAATTTATATACTGCGTACGTACGTAGACCTTTGAAACGCACGTCGAAATGATTTTTCAGTCTCGAGATGTTGTAACTCTACTGTATTAAACTACCGCATAAATGTTCCGCAACGGATTTAATTGCAGTTATAATAAGTAGACAATCATACTTCGATTATACGGGAAGATCAATCATTTTCTGACGATCGTATATTTCTGACACCTACGAGTAAACACACCGGCTTCTTCAGTTGCGTAATATTCAACACAACACGAATCAATGTCGGTCTCGGCTCAACTTGACTGGTAGAAGATTCCGCTACTAGAGGCACAGTAAATTAAAACGATAAAATAGAACGACAACAGGCGCCAGTGAGGTGGCCTCTCCAGGATACTCGGTGCGAGCGGGAGAATTACAACGACAAGACCATAATGGTCGGATCGAGCTGTGCAACATAGTTGCGTCACCAGGAAGACGAGCAAGCGAGCGAACGCGCGAATGCGCGAGCGATAGGCGTCAACACGGTGGAAACGGTAAAGTGGGGATCAGCTACGACCTTGGCCTCCACTCTAGCGAGACCGTCCCTCTATCGCCGCCTGTATTGGTTGTTTGGCAATGTCAGTCGAGGGTCACGAAAATATTGCGCACCGTCCAAGGCAGGCGACGACGGTTTTCTGTGGGAAGGGAAGGGAAGGGAAGGGAAGGGAAGGGAAACGTTCATTTGCATTATGCAATGCGCTATTCGACTTATAAGTCCGTTATCAGGCAACTACATATTGCTGTTTATCGAGATCGGTTTAATCCCCTCATTTTTCAAATGTGGAATCACGAGACAATTTTTGCAAAGATAAGTTCGGAATGTAATAAACAATTACAACTGATTCCGCGACTCTGAACGGCAATGGTGAAGAAACCGCTGTGGTTCCGATTTTTCATTCGTTGGTTAACTTGTGGGTTAGGTTTAACCCGATGATAACGTAAAAATTGTATTTTTCTATCTATGATTAATTACTACACTAATGGTTTTGTAGTAAATAACTTTTAAAGTTACTACTACAAAATCATTACAGTTTAGTGATTAATTGCAGCTAGAAAAACAATTTTTATATTATCATTAATGTTAAGTCTAAATCGCAAGTTGACCAGATAATGGAAAATCAGGTCTGTAAGTAATTTTAGAACAGAAAAAAAACTAACGTCTTCACGCGAAACTGTGTATATAAAGCTAAATTAATAATTGGCTGAGTTACGGCAAAATTGTATAATTATATTATACAATTATTAATTATATCTTACGTGTCCGAGTAAAGATTATATTATTTCAAAATACGATTACGATCTGGAAAATATATGTTATGAAAATATTAAGTTCATTCTTCATCGCTCACGTAACCGTTGGCGCCAGACGTTATATATGTAATTCTACCAACAGTCACAACAAAGTAGTAAATAGCACGTTTGAGTTTAAGTATAGTCTATTTTTACGTATCACGATAAATGTTCACATATACATTAAAAAGTCATCCAAATATACATATATTATTTACCACTCACGATTATTCGGTTATCGCGTTTCGCGATCAACCAACGAGTTTTTTTTTCTTCTTTTTTTTTTCGAAATACCGCATCGTCACGGTATTCGAGCTCCTCGTTAGATCCGATGATAGAATTTGCATCGGTTGGTCGCACGATGACTAACGCGCCGTTATGTAACGTGTTGTTACGAAAACTTCAGTTGCGACAGGCGCGTAGCTTCGCGCGCGGGCGCACATAACGTTTCGCACGAAGTAAATAGCGCTGTTTACACCGCGTTACCGAGATTAGTCCGACAACGTAGAGGAGGAATTCTTCGCCGATAAACGCGAAGAACGCGCCGCGGCGCCGCTCCTTTTTTGCGCCGCGCTTGGCAACTCGCAACACACGTTGAAAATACACGTGAGTTGGTCGCGCGAGCCGCTCGCGGAAATTATTATCACTGCATACCACGATCATCGGCATACCGCGCCTTTATCTGAAGTCAGGCTGAATAAAAGAAATTGTAAAAATTATTGGAAAGGAGAGAGAGAGAGAGAGAGAGAGAGGATTTTTTGTGACTGTTTCTCCATAATAAAAATGTTCCTTCCTGCATACTAATCGACGAACCGTGAACTACACATTCCGTGCCAACATTGAGCATGTACATCGAACTGAAGTCGGTATTCACAGTCGATTCTTATTTAAGACTGTTTTAAGTGTACTCTTAAGCTGTCATGAACGAATCAACCGTTCAAATCTGTTTCGACCTAAGACCGTCTTAGGTAATGTCTTAAAATGCTAATACGACTCTCCGATTCGTTCATAACGTCGTAAGACATCGCAGTCTTGAAATAAGAACCGACTATGAATACCAACCTAAGTAATCCTTAAAAAGATAGGCGTATAGGAAGTATTCGCGGAGTCAGTTAACTTTCGTTTTCGTCGGCGAAACATTCCTCGCATTCGGCCGTGGGGGACGTGGACAAAAAGCAAACGAAAAACGAGAAAGAGAGCGAGGGAGAGAGGAAGAATTCCGGAATAAAAATAAGAACGTGGTAGTATACACGTGAAAGCCATTAAGTCGGACGTAACGGCGAGGAAAAAAAAATAGTAGCCCGTAGTCCGATTTAGTGCGCACCAACCGGTTTGCCGTAGTTAACATACACGCGCGCACACATCCGCGCGGAGACACTATCCGAGAACGGTGTGCGCCGCTCTCTGATGCAAGAAAGTTATTATCTAACCTTGACGGGACGCTCGCAATCCATGCGGGTCCCCAAATTTCGTGAGCACGTGTCACAGATACCCCGGAATCTAGTTGTTATCGTTGTGCCGACAGCGCGCGCGGTGACGCACGGCTGCGCCGAGATGCCCCCGCAACCACTGCACTATTTTTAGTCGTGAACGCAATTACGCGGGAGATACACTTTCAGGTAATATCGCGGCGAGGCGAGAGCGCGATTAATCGTCCACTTGAGTACAATTCCATTATGTTATAGTTGTATCAAATTCTAGTGGATCGGTCTTCGTCTCTTAATCATCAGGTTAATTTAATTTTTTTTCTCTTCAAATCTAAGAAAGAAAAAGATAAATAAGGTTGTCATATATTTCTCATTCCTAAACTTTTCCCCGACTTTCAATAATATTTTGAAATGTTTGGTATTTTCGTGTCCTGATTTGGAAACCGTTAAATATTTTGTTGAAGGATGAAAGAATTTAATTAGCAATATAATTAATGTTACTGCTTGCTGGTGAATTGGTAGTATTCTAAAATTACGTAGGTGAGTGTAACATAAGAGATTCGTCACTTGTTTAATGTATCCGAAGAAATAAGTAAATACAGAATTTCAAAATTAGAAAGCTGAAAAGAAAATAAATTTAGGTATATATTCATGAATCCATTAATAAAAGTCGGCAAAAATTGCCAGGAATAATAATAAGTTTCTGCAATTTCGCGAAATCTTAAA